TGTGTGTGTGTGTGTGTGTGTGTGTGTGTATGTGTATGTGTCTGTGTGTGCATGGAAGTCAAAGGCCAACGTGTGGGAGTCAGTTTGTTCTTTTTAATGTGGGTCCTGGGAATTGAACTCTGGTCATCAGGCTCGGTGGCAAGCACCTTTACCTGCTGAGCCATCTCAGTGTTCTCTGTAAAAAGCTTTTTGCAAAGCACGTATCAGATATGGTCACTGCTTGTTATGGAACTCAAAGTCTGCCATGACTCCCCATTGTCCTACAAGCTCTGTTTCTTCCACCTTCAAGCTGCTCACACCTACTGAGCACTCACTGGCCATGCTGCCTCTTTCCCACCTCTGATGTTTAGGATTTATTTGTAGAGATTTGCTTCCTTATTCTGGAAATTCCTATTTATCCTTTGAGTCTTAACCCCAAGGTCCAGGCAGGACTGAGGTGTCCTGAGCCATGCACAACAGCCCTGAGCTATTATTCTCTCCTGTGAGTGTTGGGATGAGGGCACAGGCAAGGACCAAGTCCGTACAGAATTCAACTCAAGGCTGTTCAGAGGCGTTTGTTGAATGACCGTATGACTGAGAACACAGCAGCCTGGGCAGAGACGTCAAGACCCATGGTTTTCAGAGTGAGATACAATACCCAGACATCCTGCCATCCCTGACGACTTCCTTCCCTGAGGCATGGTCAGTGATGCAGGTGCCCAGGAGCCAGGCGAGGCTGGGCTGTGAGGTGGGTCATGAGCAGGGCTGGGAGGAGACAACACATCCCTTCCTGGTCCCCCACCTCGGCACACTCAGCACCTCCAGAGCCTCCAGAGGCCACTGAGAGGGGAATAAAAACAGGCCAGACCAGCTCAGCTTGGCACCAGCGGTCCTCTCCAGTGGACCTGCACACCAGCCCTCCACTTGATGCCTCAAGGGGCCCAGGGAACTTTGTCTCCACAGGGCCCAGGGCTGTGATCCGGAACAGAGATAGGGACTAATTGCAGGAGGCAGCCAAGCGGGCCAGGGACCAAGGGCCGTTATGAAAAGGAGAGGAAAGAACTGAGACAGGCCAGTGGGGGGTGGGGTGACAAGAGCCAGAACCCGAACAGCACCAGGGTGCAGCTCCAGTACTGTGATGCAGTTCCTTACAGCTGTCAGTGACCCTGGAC